ACAACTTCCTGCTGAACGGCTTCTACGCCCTTCCATAAACAAAAAAAAAAGCAAACGTATTAACCGTTTCTTTCTCGTAGGGAAATATGGCAACACTCTCGACTTGAAGCGGTAACGATCATTCCTTTCACTCACTGAGTTATACGCAAACGTGTAGATGTAAAACTGATTCTATTCAATGATAATTCTTCTTATCTTGTTTTCCTTAGTGTTAATCATTAATCTACACTCGAATAAATAAATACTTATCCTTTGTGTGAGAAAATTCCGTAACCCTGGTGAGGGAACCAACAAATGTAAAGATCTTAGCGAAAGATCACCCGTAAATAACAATGGTTTTCAGGGTACGCTAATTCTTTCCCATAATCAGGATTGTAATGTTAGATCAAACCCAAGACCCTTTTCGAGTACCCTAATATATATATATATATATATATATATATATATATATATATATATATATATATATAATGTAATCGTTTCTTCAGGCATATGCTTAAGAAATATACGTTTCTGTGGTCGATATTTTTTGGATGTGGTAAAATATTTTTAGCAGATTATTTGATGAAACTAGACCCTCACAATCTTTTTCAATAAGGACGGATATTATGAGATGAAATGTCACGTCATAAATCTTTTAACTATTTACGGTCGTAAGGGTCTAACATGCAGCCATAGATTCTGTAGTGTGAAAATTTAACGTGATGGAGCCCATCTCCATTCAGTCAAATGCTGAATTTATAGTTTCGTTTCGCTTAGACCGTTTGTCACCTCAGGTTCAGAGAGCAATCCCTAAGCTGCTATTTAATACATAGATAGAGAAATATATATTTACACGAACTGAATAATACAGAATCAAGAGAGAACTAACCATTCCTATTTTGAACTTTCACCATTGGTACCTGGATGACGTCTATTGAAGCGTAGTATTAGATGAGGTTAGTTTTTTTTTTTTTGTTTTGTTTTTTGTTATACGGCATATTAACTATACTGGGTTATTTAATACCGACAATATTTTTATTGCTGGTAATAATTTTTATCTATCTATCTATCTATCTATCTATCTATCTCAGCATATATTGGTTTGGTTTGTTTTACGGCATATCAACCTCAATGGGTTATTTAATACCGACAACATTTTTATTGCTGGTAATATATTTTTCTTCAAAAAATTTATTGTTGGTAATATTTTTTTCTTCCAAATTCTATTGGTGGTAATATTTTTTCAAAAATATGTATAGCTGGTAATATTTTGTTTCTTGCTGGTAATATATTTTATTTAAAAAATGTATTGCTGGTAATAATTTTTTACAAAAAAATATTTCTGTTATTAAAACCTATTTTTACTCTATCAAAGTATTTTGACCCAGTTTAGGGGTTAACTATTTGCCCATAACTGGGACCCTAATACATGCTACCACCCCGGTCGAAGTGGACTTAGGAACAGGAGCACACACTTCAAAACCTCCTGATGAAAGGCCTTGCTGTCTGACATAGTTTATCGTCTAAGCCCAAGACGTGTATGTAATTTATCGTAATACGCAGGACGGGGCACTTCAGTCGCATCATTTTATTGATAAAATAGCTAGGTACAATCTTGTGTCTTTGTGAATTTCCTCAATGATGTTTTCTCATTGTTGCGTCTCTGTCCTTGGACAGAGTGCGCTCATGGGCTTCTCTGTCTAAGGACGGAGGGGCAACTGAGAAAATAATACTGAAGAGGTACTCGGCCCTGGGGAACAGCTGCCCGAGGCCACGCCCTCCCATTGCACAAGAGGGAGGGATCGGTGTTCGCACTGAGGCCAGCGCAACCGACGGTTGCGGGGGCTGAGGAGAATTTTTGTCCCTGCCCGGGTGTACGCGCTCGGCTCCCCACATTAAAACGACCTTGTGTCACATCTCGTTCTAGTGGGGGAACGAGTAAATACCGTAATTTATCGTCATACGCAGGACGGGGCACTTCGTTCTCATCATTTTTTTGATAAAATTGCTAGATACAATCTTGTGTCTTTGTGAATTTCCTCGATGTCGTTTTCTCAGTTTGTTTCGTTCTCATTAGCCACTTGCGTCTTAGTCACAAAACTTATCCTTCATATACATATATGTTAACATTTTACCAATTTTGTTTTGTTAATACCGGTTTGTTATGAAGATATTCATCATCCTCATCATCCTTCGGTCTCCTTGCGGTCTGTCGGAAAACCATTAAGTATCGGCAAGTTCCGGAGCCATGGTGTCTTGGAAAGTGAACTTTCGCGAGAAGACATCTCCAGCAGGATGCCATAAAAGTAAGGATGAGATGATCTCCTCGTCCGCTCGATTTTGTTTTCCCTTAATAGAGAATGGTCTCCATTCTCCGTAAATTGTGTTAAGCGTTAATTCTTTTCTTTCTTTTTTTTAAGCATTACGCCCCGAGCAAGGCGTGAAGCCACTAGGCTGCAGGCGGTTGCAGAAGATTCGAATCAAGAGCAGATAGGAGTGATAGAAGAAAGGATGAGGAGAAGGATAGTGGATAGATCAAGGTAACTGGAGATGTCGATTGACATTACATTTAAATAGTTGATGATTATAGCTCTCAGGGAAACAGTAATTCGGAAGGGTGTTCCGCAGGCGAGAGGTTCGAGGTATGAAGCTATTGGAGCAGAAGAGACGACTACATTTAAAAGTTTCTACGGTGTAAGGGTGAGAGCGGGATGCCAGCTTCATAGGGCGCTTGAATTCATGGAGTCTGGGAAAAAGTGAAAGCAGCTCATCGGAGCAATTACCATGAAAGTATTTGTAGAAAAGACAGAGAGAGGTGACGGCGATTCTGTGAGAGAGTGACTGCAGACGAGACGCCAGATCAGGGCCAATTATATTACATATCCGTCTCTGGATCTTGTAAAGAACTGCGAGGTAAACAGAAGGTGCTCCAGACCATATATGGTAGCAATACTCCATGCAAGGGCGAATGGTTGATTTGTAGATTTGAAGTATCGATTCCGGGGAGAAAATTTTTTTATAGATTTTATACTTTTATAGATTTTATACTATATTTTTTTTTATAGATTTTATACTTTCATAGATTTTATAATATATTTTTTATAGATTTTATACTTTTATAGATTTTATACTATCATAGAATTTTTCTTTTGTTTGTCGTTCACTATTTGCTCATAGCTGGAACAATAGTCGTTGTTACCATTCCGGATTTCGTTGGATCTGGGAACAATAACCATTAAGAAGTGGTTCCTTGCTTTTTCAAAACATCCAATCTCTCAATCAGAGGCCTGGATGTAGTTTATTGCCATACCTATCATTGATAAGAACTTGGCAAGTACAGGCCAGATATAGCAGCAGTACAACATTTTTGGTCTTATCTGGCTTTTTGCAAAAAGAGAGCATAGCTGGAAGAGGCAGATATTTTCTGGAACGCTATCAGAAGCTGAAAATTTGTCCACTGTCATTAGCGATCGATCATATATATGAGATCGATTAGGGTGAACTTCACTCCCAGTAGTGAGTCCGTTTTGTGCATGACTGACGCGGCAGATTTTTTTCCCGCAGTAGGTTGCAATTTCATTCTTCCCTAGACCAGTTGCCATCCAAGGCTATAGAACTCGGTCTCTCTTGCTATTTACCCATAGGTGGGGGGAGAAGAAAAGGTTACATAACTTTCCCATGGTTATTAGCAGATAAGTGAAATTCAGTCAGTTATGTCTCATGCGTTATACATGTTTAGGTTATCATGTATCTTTCGATACATGACTGACGTGGCATATTTATTTTTACCCGCAGCAGATTGCCATTTCTTTTTGCTCTAGACCAGTTACCATCCAAGGCTATAGAACCCGGTCTATCCTAATATTAACCCATAGCTGGTGGGAGAAGAGGGGGATTCATAACTTTATTAGCACGTAAGTGAATGTAATGAATTCGACTGGAATTCGAACTCTGCTCTCCGATTCCTCAATCTGAGCCGCTATCTATTACTCCAGCGTGCCTAGCAGGCATTCAAATTGGCTAGATAAAAGGACGAAGACGGAGAACGATGTTATGGTTTCAAAACATATGACAAGAACCAAAAGACAGGATAATTCTGGAGCGCCAGTTTCTTCCACGTTCAGAAAAATAGAACCTACAAAGAAAAACATGGAAAATCATATTTGCTATAAGAAAGAGACGGTAGAAATTTCTGAGACAATTAATTAAAACAGAAGTGCTGGAGAATTTAATTCTCATGAGGTCACGGTGAATGGAAGAGAAACAGACGGAAGCAGCGTATAAGTTCCTTAACCTGTTTTTAGAAAATGGATGAGAGAAGAAGTCAGAGAAAGATTAAAAAAAAAATATTAAGACATGTACGGTGATAGGATCGTCTGCGACCTGAAGGGAAGGGACACAGCGAAAGAAAAGTTTACTACAGTTTGGTTTCATCGAGAAAGATAGGAGTCAAAATTATTATGAAAGAATATACGTGTGAAGAAAGTGCGGATATATATATATATATATATATATATATATATATATATATATATATATATATATATATATATATATATAGGAAGAGAGAGAGATAGTGAACTGGCTGAAAAATATATATATATATACCAATATATACCAATCATATACTTGGTATATATATATATATATATATATATATATATATATATATATATATATATATATATATATATATATAAAAAAAAGAAGGCGTGCCGCAAACGTTTTTTAGTTGTAATGTGGATTTATTGAGAAAAAATATTATACTTTGTTTTACATAATTTCGACACGTGTTTCTGTCGTGAAATTATGCAAAACAAAGTATAATATTTTTTCTCAATAAATCCACATTACAAAAAAAAACGTTTGCGGTAATTCCTTTTTAATATACATACTTTTCTCTCGTTGGAACCACTACAACATATTTCTTTTTATATATATATATATATATATATATATATATATATATATAGATATATATAGATAGATAGATAGATGAATAGATAGATAGATGTAAC